ATCTAAATGGCAAGTAAACCATGACTTTTTTGAGTATTTGATGTCACGCGTCGGTCTCAATGACGATCGCGTTGCGCGCGAGCGGATTCCTGAAGAGACGAAGGCAAAAAGCCTCCGCGGGACCATTAAAGGGTTTACATTCACGATCTTCTTTCTGTCGCGCGCGAAGGGTTAAGAGGACGTAGCGGGGATGTTTTCTGAAAGGGAAGTCTCGCGGTACGTCCACGGAGGATCTCATTCCGCGGACTATCCTCCTTCCTTCCCTTCCGCCCCCTCGATTCAGACCCCTTCGAGTTTCCTTTAGTGTGGGTTATGTCGGGACACACGCGTTGGCGACGGAGAGTTACACCCCGCGGCTCGACCGGAACAAAATCTGGCACATTCATCCGATTCACTCGGCGAGCAGCAGAATGCACGTTCCGCCGGCGGCTGAGAATTGTTTAACGAGCGACTGAGGGATACGTTTAGGATCTTTTTAAGTGCACGAGCATCTTGGGATTCCGCGAGCTCGGCGAGCCAGAAGAGAAATGCTTGAGGATCGAGAAAAACGGAGATTCTTGGAGAATCTCGAGAAGTCGAGAAAAATCTGTATAGTTTAAATTCTGTGAATTCGCAGGCTAATAATAGTAATAATTTTGTGGACATCCGGATCTTCGTCGCCACATTCTCGGATCCTCGATCGATTGATCGGAAGTGGATTAAGTACTTGTTGACAAACGCATAATATAAAATTACAATGGAGTCATTGCAAAATTTATTGAATTTTCAGGCGAGTGACTGGAAATTCTCGTTCGCGAGGAGTCAAGCTCCTCGATGAATGGAGCCTCCGGTATAATCGCAGAAGCGGAAAGCTTCTCCCTGAGATATTCGAGCGCGGACAAGAGTCGATGCCGGGGACTTTTGTCGGAAATGGGAAAGGCTTGTTTTTCGAAGTGGCACCGCGAAAGGCTTCTTACGAAAGGCGTCTCTTCGATGACTATTGTCCGTTTCCGACGACTTAATTCTCCCGGCGAGGAACAGTACGTCCGATCCCGGCGCGGCTTATCGTCCTGATGAATGTGGGACCTAAGTGAATTTCTTAATTATTTAGCGCGCCTTCTAAAGGGGCACCTCCGCGTGGAGTTTTGGCAGGCATAGAAAAGTCGCCAAGTTCGACGATCACCGCAATTCTGTGTCGCGCAAAATTTATTTCGTCAAAGACATTTGTCCCGATATTCTGAAAGCTTTAGGAGAAACGCTCTATTAGAATGACAAAGACTTAAAGAGTTAAGCCGGTTAAGGAGAAAAGAAGTATCGTAAAACAGCAATTAAAGATTTGGAAAGATATCAATGTAAAGAGAAAGTGAAATAGAAAGAATGTAAAAATTGTAAGATAGATATGAAATAAGATCATAAAATATATTTTTCAACCAAAATTAATTATATTTTTGGGTCAGTGGCCGTGTGTATGCAATTTGTCGATCTTCCTGACGTTATTTTTTTAAGGATTTGTTGTAACTACGGAGAGTAATTTTAATTATGTTAAAAAACTTTTAGAGATTCGAGACCGCGCTTTTAGAATATTTTGTCTTATTAATTCTCAGAAATAGGGAATATGAATTTTTCAAGCACCTCCATTTGCCACGCGCACGTTTTAATTACATTTACACGCTATAATTGCATCGTTAGCCTTTTTCCGCGCGATCGATCGCCATGTATTTATTCGCAGGGGCGGAAAACGCAATACTGTCGCTCTGTGCGCCGAGTTCCTTCATTTTTCAGTTCGATTTCAAAGGACACGACAAAGGCTTCCGGTTTTCCGGACTTCAGACGCAACCGCAGCATTTCAAACGCACCGAAAGGGGTTCTTGCGCACTCGTATTACTGATGTCGACTCTCTCTCAATCGCTGAAACTAATTTAATTAACTAATCACCGCCGGTTCAGGTATTACGCGCGCGGAAACCCATCTAGGTTCATTTGAAACGCTCTCAATAAGAGAAATGCAGCGCGATCAAAGAGAGATTAATACATATATACTAATACGAATAGATCGTACACGCGTCATATCTAATTTTAATCCAATATGGATAAGCAGTATGAAGGTGATAAATATCATTCTATGTCATTTTTGCAAATGTTATACGTGTGGAGCGTACTCGGCAAGCTGTTACGTAATTATTTATCCTTCTCCGATATTATTAGCGTTTAATATAGTTGTCTTATTCTATTAATTTTATGAATTCTAGCTACTTACCGTAAATAGAATTTAGTTAACTCAAGTAGTAAATAGCGTCCGATGTACGTGTATACGTGTATGTGGAAATAAACAATTTCGGCATTTTTGGGGCAGATTGATTTGATTGATCTATTGTTCATTTTTTACTTGTTGCAAAGATAATATTCAGTTACGTGATTTGTGTAACGTATAATAAGACGTTACGTCAAGTTTCGAGAAAAAGTTTCCTACGGCGTTGTTTCCTGCACAGGAAAATTCAACCATATCGCGGACATATTTTCAAACAGTAACGACAATGACGCAAGAAAGAAGGATGAGCTGTAAGTTTTCCAGGAAAGTTTTTGGCGGTCATATTTTGGCTTTCACAAACAAATCCAAAGGATCAGTCATTGTAATATATTATACCTATTAAGTGCGTCCTTCATTAAAATATATTTATACCAAAAAGCATATTGTTTTAACTATTGTGCAACATAATGCAGCCGAGTATTTATCGAGCTGCCTGAATGCACAGGCATAAATCTTGAGAAAAAACCTTGGCGAAGGTAAATTGTCTAATGCCAGCGGCAGCGTCAAGAAAATGTAATGGGGGAAGAAGTTCTGTTGAATTTTGCGGTACGCTAAAAAGTTGAGACGGTCTGAACTTCTTCCCCCACTACATTTTCTTGACGCTGCCGCTGGTTTCTAGCGTCAATGAAATCGCACCTTAACTTTTGTGCATTACGTTTTAAATTGCACTGTAGCAATTGTCAAACTTGAATTTTTTTAACCTAAAATATTTTAAAATAATATTTAATTACTTATGAGTCATGACACAACTTTCTGCTAAGTTTTTTGTTATCAACATATATGTATGTGGCAAGTTAAACTCTGAGATAAAATCGATAAAAATTTATTCAGAGATGAGATATTTCTGAAGTTTAATTTATAAACTCTAAACTCTAACGATAATAGCAATCAACATTAATTTTTTAATTGAATAATTTGTTTAGTTTGATATAGAAAAAGCTTATTATTGTTAGTCATGTAATACTATTTTTTAACGGAAGAAGATTATTAACGATTAAGATATTGCGCGAGGAAAGGGTTAACATTAAAACACAGAAATTATTAAATAATTAAATTGGTGATTTTTATTTTTCCTTTAAATGTGATGTAATAAATATTTGTGTGTATGTAGCAAATTATTTTTTAAATGTTTTTTTATTAACAAAAAATGATCAAAATTATCGCTTCTAAAATCTGCTGTATAAATATTATTGTTGATTTCTTATCTCACAGATCTTCGTATTTTACACAATATAATCGGCGAAGGTCACGGCAGCAACATTTGTAACTTAATATTCTCTTTTATTGAGATATTCTGATTTAAAAAATCGTAAAAAAAAAGGTATTTTTTGTAGGAAAACAAAAAAGAAAATAACGTTAACTTTGCATGTTTTTTTAGCCTTATTTTAAGAATTTATTTTTATATTTTTCAAGTAACAAAAATACTCTTTTTTTCTATGTTACATCCTATCGTCTGAACCAGAACTAAACCAATATTTCCATTCTAGACAAAATGGTGATCTTTTTATTAAAATTATTATAGTTTTTCTCATAATTTTGTTAGTATTCGAAAAAAATAAAAAACTAGTATAAAGTTTATTCTAGTTCAGACGATAGTCACACTTCTCCCGAATAAGAAAATTTTTGGTTTTTACGTTTCAGGTACCTAATAGAAGAGCTAGAATCATTTCGTTGACGACACCGTCGATCATTTACACCTCCTGGTGACCAAGGTATAACACAAAAAAAATAGTATTTTTGTTATTTAAAACATAAAAATATATTCTTAAAATAAGACTAACAAAAAATTTCTAAAAAAGACTTTTTTTAAGACCTTTTAAACCAGAATAGCTCTTTAATATTCTCTCTAATAGTCTCTCCATGATTCTCGGCAGTCAAAGTCGGCAATTTTAAACGGATGTCAAAGAAAAGAACTTTGGAAGAATAAAGAATAAGTGAGAAATGTTATGCAATTTTCTGAATAGCATATTGTTTCACTTGTTACGCTTCTTCTTTCTATTTTTCATTGTTCAACCTTTTGAAAAAAAAAAAACTTGAAAAGATCAAATACCATTCCTTGTTCTCACATTGAGTAGAAAAAAGAAAAAGCAAATAATTCTTTATCCGCATAACTGTCCTATGACAACCATGTAACCGTGTGTTTGTCCGTGTGATCGATCAACTAATATGACCATTCAGTATAATCTAACGTGAACAAACAAAGGAAATGCGATTTATCTTCTACACATCATCAATTATTATATATATTTATATTCAATTATAATATCTACTAATAGAATAAATATGTATGTATATATGTACATATAAACACAAATATTTATATTTATATACTTATACAAATTATATTTACATTCATATATATAATATAAATATTACATACATAAATATATATTAAATGTAAATATATATATCTATTTGTCATATCTGTTGATCAATCATATAATTTTTACTAACAAATGGAGAATGAAAAATAAGTTATTTTGTACAAATGTGCATGCTCTACATCATTATGAGGAGGTATAACACGACTAATGTTCAAGATAAAAATAATTTCATATAAATAAAACGTAAAGTTAGACAATGAAATAAAAAAATTACGAAAATTTAAAAAAATTGAAATATTAATACAACTAAAGTATTAATATAATAAAATGTATATAGAGACATTTATAAAGATTATAAAAGAATCATTTTATTTTATGTTATATGTATATTGTATGATGCATACATTATCTTTTCTAAAAGAATTTTTTTTATTTGTAGAAATTACTTTCATTGACGTATCATACTTTAAAAAGCTATAAAAAAAGCTAAATCTGAATTAAATTTATCGATCGTTTAATAGTCAATTGCATCGAAGTGCATGCATTAAAAAACCTTGCTCTCTATTGTCTTTCTTTCCTGCCCTCTTGAAATCTAAGAAAAAAAAAAAATTAAATGAGTAAAAAAAATTGTAAGCCTTGTTATTTGTGATTTACAACATCTTGGCAGAATGTTCGTCTTACACCTCCTTATAATGCATGTATAATTCATAAATACAACCGCCTTACTACCAAATATATTGCTTATTCCAGGTACATGATAATCCGTGTCATATCTTGTAATTATAGCATTTCCTCATATTTATCGTGAATACGCCGCCTGAAACAGTAAAAGTTAACACACAGCTTATTATTTTTGTTTAAAATTTCAAACTTTATTCTTATTATAAATTATATAAATTATTGAATTATATAAATTAATTAGATGACGTATCTATACATACATGTTGAATATATCAGCACTCGTATAATATTAATTACATTGTATACTAATAATATTAAAAGTATAAAAAAAGTATTTTTTTATCAAAACTGAATAATTTTTGCAGAGAAAATCTGAGGAGGGAACATTAAAAGTTTATACCTATAGAAATATGTTGGTTTGGATTTATATATTTTTTTATATATAAAAATACATATATATATATATATACGTATATTATACATATGTATATTATACATATAAAGATTACAGAAAAAAGTTACTTCACAACTCAGTAAATAAAGGAGATTACACCGTAATTAAAACGTAAATAAAAGAAGAGTTAAAAACAAATAAACTTGTAAAGTTTGTGATAGCGAACAAGATCTAAATAATCTTTCTCTTAACTGCCAGTCAAATTCTTTATTCGCGCAGCGTAATTCATAAAATTAAATATTGTAATTAATCTATATAGACAACATTATTTTTATTGATATCGTTTTTTTTTTAGTATTTCGCACGTTCGGCTAAAAGTTAGCACCCTTGTTGCTAGGCGTTAAAAGTGCATCCGCGATTAGATAACATTATTTGGAAACAACACGGGACATTGCGGGAGGGTTAGGTCGAGGCTATTCATCAGGAACCATCCTCTACAATAAAACCCATTGAACAAGACAAAACGAATCCGGGCCTAAATGATTCCATTGTTCTGTCGCATTAATATGCTAATTCAATTATCCACTTCGTTAACGGCGAGACGGCCTTGCCGACAGATACCCTAAAAACTATCGGTTGAAACTGAATCAGTCGATGCAGGAAACAATTTCTTTTTTTACGAATTGACTTGAAAATAATAAATACATTACGTATAAATTCTTTTTAGAGATTTGTTTCTTTTTCTTTTCTTTCATTATTTCTTTTTTTCTGGAAAACATTTTTTCATATATAATTACATAAAATATATCCATATGTTTTCTTTCTCGTAATTTTCCTTTTTGTAAAAAAAATGCAAAAGATACTTTTCTAATTATTTAAGGGATAGAAAAACATATGGACATATTTTATACGTACGTAGTTATATGAATATGAAAAAATTTTCCCCGATATTCTTTAATGGAATCTTTTGAAAATTTCGAATTTATATATTCTTATCCCTATTCTTATCATATATAAGTAACCTGCAAAGAATTTTAAATGGAAATATATTATTTCGCTGAAGAAACAGAACCACAAAGCAAAAAAAAATTCAGAATTACATCCTTTGGCAAACGGAAATCCAAAAATAATAAGAACTAGAATTAAACGAAATCTTTCTTCAGTGAGAAGAAAGATTTCGCAATCTTTTCGAACACTTTGGATTGCTCGAGAAATCGTAAATATTCGCATCATTGCTCATTAAATTTTTACCGGATCATATCTCTGAAGCCAATCGGAATCCGTGGGGGTAGCCAGTGGCCTAGTGGATGGCACCGATAACGAAGCAGATTGCGATTCGTTGGTGTCATAATTGTGCGCGGCGGTCCCGGTAGATCCGGACGTGGAAGGAAACATCAGCTGAGAATGGAGACCGTTGGTTCCCAGTGTACCCTGGCTTGTCGGGAAGAACGAGTTCAGGTTCAGGTGATGCTGCGCCAATGTCGTTGGATTACCAACCGCCGGTGGCATCGAATAGAACTGATATAAGCTATTGATGTCGAAAGACGCGTTGTTGTTGCCGTCAGCCGAAACCGTCGACGACGACACCGTGGACGACGCACTTGGGTTCATCGCCTTAAAATGGACGGACCCGTGGTACGGATGGTAGCCCGGACGAGGCATGGCCGAGGGATTGACCATCGACGTAGCGTAGACCGACGACAGCGGGAAACCGGAGCAGTGCCTCGAAGTTATGTACATGGACGGGTCCGCCGAAATTGACATCTTCTTGAGCTTTCTCCGAGGTCGATACTTGTAATTCGGGTGGTCTTTCATGTGCTGATTGCGCAGGCTCTTTGCCTGCTCGACGTAGGGATCTTTATCCTTGACGGGGAGCTCCTTCCACATTACGCCGAGCATCTTCGAGATCTCCGAATTGTGCATCTTCGGGTGCTCCTGAGAGATCTCCTTCCGTTTCTGACGGGACCATACCATGAACGCGTTCATAGGCCTCTTGACGTGTTCCTCGTGTTGCACATGTGTCTGCTGGCCATCTCTCATCGTGTCGTCCGCGGCATCGGATGGCATTTTATTGGGAAATGAATAATACAGCGGGTGCAAATGGTGAGGTGAGAACACGTCGAATCCGTAGTTGAAACCTGGTGTGTCCGAGTTTGAACTGAAGCACGGATTGTACGGCATTTGTTCACTTGAAATATACTTTGTCATCTTTAACCGCAAATCGTCCTTCATGAATAATTCTTAAACGATTCGTTGAAATGACTGTTTACAAACACACGGCTACTGATGAATGATACAATCGATCGTAGGCTGTGACAACGTATCGGCATTTATACGATTCACAATTCGGTGAATATTGATGGATCGATATTTCAATTTACGAGCTAGTTTTCATCTGATTCAATTTATTTACAATTCTTCCAACTCACACTCTCGTACTAATTGGCTAATGTTATCTTTTAACTAACAATAAGAGGTTTTCTTGAAACCAGCCAGTGTATCATTTTGCAAACCTTGTCTTTGCTTAGATTTAAATTGTTTTTAAATAATTACGTATGTAATTTTTCAAGAAACAATCATCACAGATTAGTATCGTCTTATTTTATTTGTTCAACATATATTGCACAAACTTCCACGAAGATGATCTTCAGTTGTGTGATTCTTCTCGGTTTCTTCTTTTTCTTCTCTTTCCAACTGGATTTCTTGACTCCGATGGACACAATATATTATCAAGAAAGGATTTCTTCTCTTTGGCTTTTGTTACTATGGTAGTGAACAATATTTTCTCACTTAAAATTATAAAAATCCGATAATAAATTAGATTTTTCTTGACAGACTATTGTGTGTGTGTGTTCTACCACCAAATCACTGCCCGGCGACCAAACGCACTACTATCTTTCTACTGTCTGTGCTCCGATATTCGTTTTCATCGCGAGTTTGGTTGACTTAGTGTGTACCAGATGCTGAATTATACTGAGAGCTGCCTAGCGTGCCATACAGCTGACTCATTGTCCCGGCACTGGCGGCACTGTCCTTCTCTCTTCCCTCTCCGTCGTGTCCGATGCGAGCCCCACGCGCGACCCACGTTTATGGGCGTAGCTTGGCCGGTCGTGTTCGAAGGTCGACCGGCTGATCCGTCGACCACCCATCGACCGGCCCCTCGTGCACCATTGGTCCTCGGATCCCCGTTTTCGTGTAACTCCGCTGCGCTTCGTCCCACTTCGTCGCCCTCTGTCACCCTACTTTGCAGCTTGCGACGACGGAGTACGGAGCGGAGCGGGCCACTTCGGCGCGATATACCGCGCGGACTGCAATTATTATTATCGATTACCTCGATACGACGAAGTACAAATAGCGCATAGACCGGCCGTTATTGACTGGCTCCGTTCACGTACCGTCGCGCGACCGCGGGGTTACGTCGCGCAGTAATTGCAATTTAAAAAAAAAAAGAAAGATCAGGGTAAGGATTTTCGTAATCCTTTCGTCCCTGGAGATATGTAATAGTGCGCATCGTGTAATCTCATTTGCAGCAAATTCTTTCGATTTTCACTAACAGTAAAATTGAATCGCACTAGAACCATCGTTCTCACTTAGACTTCAACTATGCACAACGGTAAGAGCTAAACTGAAAACCGATTGCCAATTTAAAACTATCAGGTCCCTTTAATTGTGACTACATTACCACCTTTTTTTTTAGTCTTTTAACTTTTGGCCATTTAATGGTGGGATACACTTCGCTTCCCCTCTCTTTTATATATCACGTAGACACGCACGTGGAGGGAGAAGAACTAGGCGGGACAAAACTTCCAAGGAGCTTCTGTTACTTGCTAGATCGTCTTGGAAGAATCGTTTTTTTTCGTCAGTAACCTCCGAAAGTTTCTCACGACTGATATACAAAGTACAAGTAGCAGTGAAGTAACAGTGAAGATCACTTGATGCTGAAGATATGAAGATAAAGAAAGAAGAGGAAACAACACAAGTTCACTTAATAGAAGGACACATACATAATGCATATATGTATGTATAATAAAAATTGATATACTGTGTGTTTTATAATTCATATACTCATCAATTATATAGCATTATTTCTCAATAAAAGAAGTCCTGGATTATTTTTTTCTCCGAAGCTTAATTAAGGCAGTATTCTTAACTAAAGTTTATTCAATCAGCGCCGTTCTTTAGACGGATATTCGTGACCTACGTTTCATCTGTATTTTTATACACTATGCGAAACGCGTGGTTCACAGATGTAAGTCCGTTTAAAAAATGATTGGATGGACTTTAATTAAGAATATCTTCTTAGTTAAGCTTCGGAGAAAAAAAAATGATTTAAGACTTTTTGATTTGTTTTGGAATAACCTTATCGTAATTGGTGGGTGCAAATTATAAAATTCTGTGTAATGTGAATCATTTTAATATTTATTATTCCAATTATTGCAATTGTGTTTTATTTTAGGAAAAGATATTTTAAATAAAAATTGCAGGCAATAATACATATATATCCAATTTCTTATAATGTGTACTAATCTGCTATTTTCTAATGGTTACAAATTAATATTGTTAATATTAATTTTAATTTTCTCTGATGAACGGATAAAGAACGAGTTCACGAAGCAGTATGTTAAAGCAATATTTGCACAGTCTCATACATCGGCGAAACGTAAAATGATCGAGTGAGCGTTTGGTGTTGTTTTCTTATCGCGCAACCCCCTTTTACGCCGTCTTTTCGTCGTCGACGAGTAATCAATCGGGAGTCCGCTCTAGAGCGAGTTTCGACCCTATTTAGTTTACGTACACACACACGCGCATACACACAGAAAGAGTGAGAAGAAGAGGAGAGGAGAGGAGAGGAGGAGAGGAGAGCGACAGCTTCCGTGAAACAATGCCAGGCGAAATCTGACGGTTACCCTCCTATGGGAAATCTGCGGGTACAATGCAAAAAATCCTCTCGACGACAGGGCACTTGGATTAGAATGAAAAGCGGCGAAAGGAGAGAGCGCCCTGCTCCCTTTTCCCAATCTCGTATCGCCCCTCCGTCGTCCTGACCCATCCTCTTCGCCTTTCTGGCTACCGGAGGACATTCAGTGATGCAAACGAATAGATCGCAATAGTTCGCTTCTCTTTCTCTCTTTTCCTCGGTGATATTAGTTGCTTTGTGTGTATTCGTGTATTACGATTGCTTTTTCGACGTCTCTTCTCGTCTCCTCCGCGATCAAACACTTTTCTGTTCTCGGGTTATTGTTTGATAGCATATCATCTTAGCAAATCTTAATTGGCGTTTTTACTTAAAATTCTGTTGTCTAATGTTGTATAACATCTGTTTAATATACATTTTATTGTTTGTAAAAATAAATATGCGTGAATAAGCATACATAAATTAAACAGGGAGAAGAATATAATTATCTTGTTTGTAGACACATATAGTCCTGATTCTGTTATTTATTGTTTATATGAGTATGAATAATCTTGCTATAACAAATCGGGTTAACAAATATATACATCATTATAATTGTGTGTGATAAATTCATTTCAGTAGCAGAATCGAATTAAAAGAATAATGTCGAATTCACTTTAACAGAGAGCGATGAAATGACGCAAAATTATTTTTTCAAGTGGCGCGGATCCGCTTTTATAAGGTCCACTGTCGCGAAATATTTCCCGAAAACATCCATCACTTCGTCATCGATCTCGGCACGATTGGAACACAAAAAAAAATCCGGGAAAGCAAGTCCGTCAGCTAATAATTTATTATCTCGCCGGGGTGCGCCACCCCGAAAAACAAAACCCACCCTCGTCGCGGCGTCGACAAAAGGTGGCGGAAGGAAAAACGAGGAGCGCGTCTCTTCCGTCGCGGAAAAAATCCGGCGACGTGGTCGCCATTCCGTCGGCCTCTCCGCTAATACCTCGTGCGCGCATACAAATGCACGTGTACGTATATGTATACGTATATGTATATCCGCCTGTACACACATTCTTGCCCGTATGCAGTCGGGTGCAAATTGGTATTGAAAAATCTCGAAGTCAATTAAAACTCGAGGCACAAAGGATTCGGCGAGACAAAATACCAATTATCTCATGTCCTCGCCGTCGTCCGCCACCCCCCATCCCCCCGTTCCCTTCTTTCCCTGCCCGGTCGACGAACAGGAGGAGGAGAAGGAGGAGGAGGTGGAGAACAGGGAGGAGAGAGGGAGGAGGCTCTTTCCCTTGCAAGAACTCAATTCCATTAGGCATTGAAGTGAGTAAAACGAGGATGGGCATCTATATAACGCACTCGCATCTCGCTTATCTACCTAATAAAGGTTTCTCTCGCCCCCTCCCTCTCAACCCCTCAGGCTTCTTCCACTCTTGCGGCACCCCCGCAGTATAAAGCGTACCCGTGAGGTGTCTGCGAGACAATCCCTTGGGATGACAATGCTTATCCCACGTATGAATGCTTCCTAGGTAATTTAAGTATAGCCCGCCCGATATTGTCCTCCCTTCTCTTCGCGCGTCTCCCCCCTCCCCTCTTCCTCTCGTGGGTCTTCGTTCGTGCCCGTCCATGAAAATTCGTTGTCCTTGCGTTAATGATCGCTCTTAAATTTCATTTTAGATTTAACTCCAAAGGACTCGCAGAGATACAGAACTCGAATATTCCATTTAATAAATATTTAAAACAGTTGAAAATTTTGTGTTATCCATTGATGAGAAAAAATCAGTTACGCGATTCCACGCACATCTAGTATTTGAATTTGCGAAATTATTAAGGATTTGGTTACAAAATTCAGAATTCTATTGTAACAATTCCAGAGGCTTTTAATGACTCAGAATAATCCTCGCGACTCTACACGACGAGCGATAAAAATTCGATGATCTCGCTTAGACGGCAATTAAGGTACAGCTAATTAATAATAATCCCGGCGCGACGATGTAACGTCTTTCGCACACAGGCGGAGCGTGTAATTCGGATGCGCGGGGGATTATCCACGCAGCGTTCCCGACATTGATCCTGCAAATTAAGTTGGTTGCTCGACCGACGGGGCGAGATGTCAAACCGGCAGGAACTGCTGGGAGCTTTGTCCTGCGCGCTCGCAGCAGGTGAAGCGCCGCATTTGGCTGATTATGGGCGATCGCGAAGGCGTGTGAGAGCAGACAGATAAAGCTTCGTTCGCAAGTGACTATCGGTGTACAATTACGGCGCTAGAGAATTTCAATGTTCCAAAAAATCTGAGGATTATGAGGACTAAACATTTTCGAATATTTAAAAAATAGATTGAAAACTGCGGAAGTTTTTATAGTTCCAAAATTTTCGATAATTTAACTAATTGTATGGTTATAACAGTGATATCATCTAATTTATATTCTTTAATTTATTTATGATTTAATAAACTTATCGCTCTTAGTATTCTAAAAGTATAGAATTAGAAAATACATAACGATAGATTTAAAAAATGTCACAGGTAACAAATTATGAGCTGTTCGCACTCGCTTGTTGGGGACGCAGCTTAAGGGGGTGCAAGATGAGGAGAGTAAGGGCACGGGTTCAGGAGAGCCCGTGCGAGATCATGGGTGCGCTACGGAGAGAGAGAGGAGAGAGAGGTGGAGGGAGAGAGCGGAGGAGAGAAATCCGGATCCATCGCGGTGCCACATCGCCACCCCCGAAGAGCACGCACGAACGCGTTGCGTAATTAGCGACTGCCTCCCCGGTTTTCGTAGGTGGGTGGGTTGTATCCAACGGCGGAGATCGGACGAAGAGAGAGAGAGAAGGAGGGAGAAAGGAGGTTGGGAGGGCGGGAGGGTGTAGTAGAGCAGAAAGGGTCGACCAAGTGCAACCCTAGAACCCGTTCGTGCGACTTGCGCTGAAATCCGCTGCGTGCACATATAGCAGGCACACGTGCACGGGTGCGATCTACGGGGTGTTTCTTCCGTATAAGAGCCGGACGGAAGTTTTAGAAATCCTTAGGGCGCGTCCGAGAGCGACGTAATGGATTGAACCCTCTTCGAGATTTAGTTTCGCCGGAACGCGGAAACGGTAATTCGGAGTTTCTCGATCTACGCGAGCGCTCGAATCTCTTTTTTCCCTTTCGAGAAGGCCGTCCGAAAAAAAAGAAGAAAATAAAGCGGATTTGTTTCAGTTTTTGACGCAACGCCAGTTAGTCGCATCGCGGCTCGGATCGTCTTCGGCGGAGGTCATACGGGGTGACGTCGTGTTAACACGTAACGCATCTATTATCGGCAAATATCGCCCTTCCAATCCTTAGAAAGGATTCCCGAGATTTCCTTCCGATCTAGTGAGCGCGTGCTGAGTTAAGGATGGATTAGCTGCCGATCTGATTTCTCTGAGGGTGGGGTTTTGGTCGAATTATGCGGCTCGTGGCGTCGACACTAATCCTTTTGAAAACACCCTGTATAAAAGGAGAGGGGGGAAGGAGAGAGAGGGGGAGGGGAGGGAGTGCGAGCGTCGTCGAGACGCAATTAATGCGGAAACCAGGCGCGGACGTAGAGGGAGTTTCGAGAAGGGCATCGCTATGCCGTGAGACGTAATGACTAATTGAGATCGGAAAGAGAAGGGCGAGCGAAAGGGGAGAAGGGGGTGGGGTGCTAGAATAGAAGGGGGTTAATACGAGCTGCGTGGTCATGGTAAAACGCGCGTTTTCTCTCTCTCTCTCTTTCTCTCTCGCTTGCTTCCTCTTTCCAGCGGGCTTCGTACCACCCTCTTTCCAACGTCCTAGGACCTGTGACAAAGGATCACTCGCTTGCAGGCGCACCAATGGAATTATGGATTCCTCTTCTGTCGAGGCCTTCGGATTCTGCACGATTTTCCGTATAATCGATCGGGAGTGAGATTGTGCTCGCGAGGCGCACGAATCGCGGGGATTTACAGATGTGTTCTGATATCCTATATGTCCTACGTGTATCATACGAAAGCGTTTCCAGAAAATACGTTACACTGTATTGAACGAGGAAGAAACTCGTTCTTTTTTTTTTTCTAAACGAGTGAACGTCATGACGAATCGGATTGATCGATAGCAGCGCGGTCCATTACGTGAGTCTTTCTTCTTCTCCCCCGCATAAATTTTGATTTGCACTTGAGATAAGATTGAGAATTAGGCCTTTAATTAAATTACAGATTAAATAATGCTAAGTAATTTTGTAATTTCCAATACGCAATATATTTGCGTATTTTTTTACACATTCGTAACGTGTAAATCTTATCATAATGAAGAACGAGAGAGATACATGAAATGCCTCTCCCAGTCTTTGCCTGGTATGCAGAATTCGTTGTGCATGCAATTTAATCTAACAATAATAAATGCGTCACTTTGCGCAAACGAGCGAGCCATTGGGATTCGCGGTTTTCGCATATCGATCGCGTTTCGCGCTCGCTGTTTCCCGACGACGAAGAACGGGTTGACGCAAGACGAATCCGCCCCGGGAACCACCAAACCCCTCCGGCCCTCCCTTTCGGCGACGAATTGTCGTCATCGTCGTCGTTTCCAGCGAGTGTCTCCATTCCGCGCCGGCTCGTCAGAACATTAAGATAATTACTTTCCAGCGGCGGGATGCGGCACCATTGTCGCGTTACCGCGTCGAGAATGGCATTACGCCATTGTGACGAAGAAAGCTCGCGCGGGTTCGCTCGCGCCCGCTCCGAGCCCGCGCGAGATGATGGTGCGAGCGCGCCATTCTGTACAACTCGTGCCGCGGTGCGCGGCGTTAGCGGGGGTGCACAGGGGGTGCGTTACGTTTCCGTCGAGGTGCCTGCTCCGCGCTCCCATTCGAGGGATGCCTTCCGAGCGAGGGAAGAGGGAAGAGGTGGCGCCCGGGTTGTTGCCGCGCTTCTCTTGTCGGCGACGCCATTAATGTAATTATTTCCATCGACTGTTCTAAAGCACAGTGCGGAAGCGGGGGGGGGGGGGGGTTGGGCCTCCCCCCCTCCGATCAGGGCGCGGACCGACGAGGGCGATAAAGGGACCGAATTATCTCTCAGGACAATCAAATCATGTGTGATACCGCGATCTGCGATTTTTTTTGGCGGCTACCCTCGACGGCACCATCAATAAGAATGAAGCCAGAGAGTGCAAAATGTTAACAACTATATATAATAATACGTCATTAAATATTTTAGCGTTATTAAATATTTTTAAGATTTTTAAGATTGTAAAAATAAATGCCAATATATATATATATATATATATATATATATATATATATATATATATATATATATAATATAATGTAAAATTTTAATTTTAATTGAAATTAATTTTAATATAATATAATATGGTAATTCTTCAGAATAGGAATAAAAAAAAAGGTAGGGTGCATATTTTTCGGGCTCCCCCGATTGATTATCACTGTCGGAGTCACGACAAAGGTTTTTACTAAGAAAACCGCAAGAAAATATCAAAATTCGGAAAAGGCCCTATTCTGAAGATTTACCTATAATATAATTTAATATAAAATGTTGAATGACATAAATAGGTTGATAACAATGTACAGTGAAAGTACCTTATTTTTTTGCACTATCCTATATGCACGGTCTTACATAAGACCGTGATCCTATGAGTATTGTATTGGCCTTATTTGTAACTAAGATATTAAAATATAATGTCTTAAAAATGAATTTTTCTTTCTTATTATCTCATCAATCTCTGAATGTTAGGGTTATAAAAAAAAAATTGACTACATCTTTATGTTAATTAAGAACTACGCGCGATTAATTTATTCGTAAATATTTCGCATAAGAATGTTAAGATGGAAAATTAGAGAAAGAGTTTTGCACTAACAAAACGGAAGTTTGCGTTTGAAGCTGCTGACTTCAATGTTTCAAATTTGAGGCTAGAGTGGCTAGACGTTTCCTTCAAAATCAAATTTCAGCGTAATCGTACCAATTAGATTCTTCTTTTCCTTGATTAATAAGTCAGGATGTGTGGCGTGAGTAAAATATAATTTAAAGAGTGGGAGGAAAGAATGAATAATTCTTGAAGTTTCAATATTCGCTTGAGCGAAGTGAATCATGTCTTTCGGGGATACTTTGATTGAAGAGGACGGCTTTGGATTTGTGCCAAGGCCACTTGGTATTATATCGGAGAAATCACGCGAGATCGTCAGAAGGTATTGCAAGATTGTCGTTTTACTTGGAATATCTGATAATTATTACTGAGGCAAAATTAGACATTTTGTAGAAGCTGTGTAAGATGACGAAACCTCTCCGTTAAATTTGAATAGAGAATTATTAATGTTATATGTATTAATTATATTATAAAAATGAGCCAAAACTAAGTGCTTTATATATTAGAAAACCGCCTCTCTATTGAATTAATATGTTATACTGACTGTGAACGACATATATATATTATATATCTCTGATGTGGACAGGTACACTTTGACGAATAAACATAAAGCGATTGTGCGTCTGATATCATGGGGTGCTAGTATTCAGTCAATCAAAGTTCCCAATCGTGATGGTAAACTGACCGACGTTGTTCTAGGATTCGATGATATGGATGGTAAGGTTGTTGCTTGATAACAGGATATAGTTTTTCAAAAGCAAATTAATTAAATTAGACGCATTTTTGTACGATATTTCTCTTTCCCCTTTTTGTTATAATTACATATTGGAAATTATGTAATATTAAAGTACCTTTATAAGTGGTTATTTATTATTGCTGCTAACGTAATTAGGATATTTGAAGAACAGATACATGGGAAGCATCATCGGTCGCGTTGCCAATTGCGTTTCCGGCGGTTCGATGCATCTCGACAACGTAATTTATCCTTTGTCGATTAACGACGGGGCTGCAAAGGATTGTTTCAATGGCGGTACAGTTGCGTTTGACAATGCTAATTGGCAGTCGCAGATAGTGAACAATCGAGTGGTATGATGCAACTTATTCCCGTGAAAGTGAGACGCAAAATTGTTAAAATTATTGTTTGTTTTATATTGTGTTCTTCGACGAGGTGATGTCGCATTTGAGCCGAAGCCACAGCCAGGGATATCCCGGTGATGTGTTAACGCAAATTAAGTACACTTGGACGGACGATAACCAACTTCACATTAACATCCGTGCCACCAGCACAAGCTCCACTCCTGTCAACATTACTAATTACTGTTTATTCAATCTCGCCGGACATGTAAGACATAAATATAAAGCATTGATTTCCTCGGAAATGGCAACATTTATCTCGGGCATAAGATCTGGAAAAAAATCCTAACGTATAAACAATATATACGAATTATCTTTTTGTCTTTTAAATGTGAAAATTTTTTAAATAAAAACAAAATGAACGTTAAGTACTGCATCAATTTATATACTAATAACTTTTGGAATTAAAAATTTATGAACTTATAAAACTCAGGCATTTTTCGAGAAATTGCAAAGAGTTTAGAGAAGTAAGGGGAGGAAGGTCAGACGTCTAGATTTGAAAAATGAAATTTATTTTTTGATTTAAGTTATTTGCTATAAGGCCGGTATTTACAATTGATTCTTATATTTTTAGACCGTCTTATAATCCTAAGCTAGATGTCATGAACCAATAACTGAGCCGTATTAATATCTTATTAAGACGGATTTGAAATAAGAATTAACCGACTATGAATACCGGGTTAAGTTTCCCTAAGACAACACTCAGATAATTTGTTAGGGTACAGGCTCGAAGGAGTTAAAGAAACACGTTCTCACGGTCAATGCCGACAGCTGGATTTTCATGGACGTCAAGAATAACTTACCGACCAGCATTGCATGTCCGGTGGATGGTACGTTGTACGAACTGCGTTTACCGGTACAGTTGAACCAACGTCGATTATTCGATGTACCGGGTGGCGGTTACAATCACAATTTGTGCGTCAACAGTCCCAGCTGCTGGTGTTACCGTTTCCACGCTCGGTAATCTTCCAGCATTTTCCGACGTTGAATTTAATTTTCGATATTTTATAACGCGCTCTATAATGCAAGATGTTTTTCTTCTTATATCGATCTGTTTCACGAATTATATGAAAAGAATTTTACATCCTGCTTCCGGACGATTTTTGGAAGTTTACTCGAATCATCCTGGATTGCAAGTCTATACGGGAAATATGCTGCCGCATCAACGCGTTTATCTTCCTGATCTGGAAGATCACGAATGGGGAGGCTGTGAAAATGTGCATATTAATTCCTTGAAATCGGTATGATTGCGATTGAATTTTATTTTTAAAACAAAAAGTGATATAATTTTAAGAATGAGATCAGATTTGAAGTTAAATAAAACACATAAATTAATAAAATTAAATTAAAATTTTAATAAGGATTTAATAGATTAAAAATCAAAGAAAAGTAATAGAGCCTATGAGCCGAGCTATAATAGGTTTTGGTATTACAATTTAAAAATTAATATTCTCAGTTGATTTAAAGATATCGATTGTCGACGGTTAATATATTAACAGTTAATACAATTGATTTCTAATTTTACTGCATCTGCTTTAAAGAAAAACTTTTTAGTGTCTTGAATTTTTATCAAAATTTTGCTTCTTTATAGAGGAAGCTGTTTTCGTTAAAAAAAAATTTTTTTATGTTTTTTTGAATGTGTTCAGAATGTTCTAAAACGTCGAAAAATTGCAATTTTAAAAGATGTCTATGTATGTATGTGTGTGTGTATGTGTATGTGTGCATGTGTGTGTGTATGTGCGAAATTTCTATAACTCCAGAACTAATCAACTAAATCATAACGAATTATATATGAAATAGGGGTAGAAAAAACTGAAGAATATAATAGAATTAATAAAAATTGCTATTAATTAAGGGGTTCTTTTTTAAAAAAATTTTGAATTTTTGCTCTGTTGTCCGTTAATGCTCTAACTTCCGTAATTTTAAGATATTGGTCTATTTTTAATTTTATTATATTCTTCAGTCTTTTCTATTTTTATTTCATATATAATTCTTTAAGGCCGGTATTCATAGTCGGGTCTTATATCCAAGATCGTCTTAAGTATAGTCTTAAGGCGTCATCAGCCAATCAGAGGGCCGTATTAACATCTTAAGACATCACTTCTTCTATGAGGAAGCCAAGTGCAAATTTCTAATTTGCACAATTTTTTTCGCATTGTTTATTAATTCTATTATATTCTTCAGTTCTTTCTACCCCTATTTCATATATAATTCTTTAATATTTGGTTAATCAGTTCTTGAGTTATAGAAATTTCGGTAAATTTGGTTGTTTTTTTAAACAGAAATCGATAACCCCTTTATTATTAGCAATTTTTTTTAAATGTTTTTTGATACAAAAAGCTTGAATATATTTCTCAACAATTATTGAAAATATTACGTTTTGAATAGTCGAAGGAAATCGCGAAAGGAAAAAAAACGGAAGTTTACGGCAAAGGAGGCGTTTCTTATCGACGTCATGGCGGATTTGCTTTATCGCCCCGAAATTATTCCAATACTGTTAACGTCGGACACTTTCCATCCTGCATGCTGTATCCTGGGAAAATTTATATGCATGACATGACATACAAGTTTGGAGTGCTTTCCGAAGATTAAAATATTTTTTTGTTACTTTAATTTATTTCTTTTAATGTTTAATTTTTATCTTGCAATATACGAAGAGAATTTGCTTTGAAAATCAATTTTTATACTTCAAATAAAATCCTTAAACGAAATAAAAAATGTTGGTATGAAAAAGTTTATATTGCTCATCTTTAGATGGAATTATGAGTTATGAAATGTCTCAGTTTCTTTTTATTTTTATGTCAATATTAATCAATCTGCATAAGAATGGTAGAATGACAAGTATTTTATAATTGCTAAAATAACTACAATTTCAGCTGATTTGAAAATGGAAGCCGATAAGACCCATATTTGTCACTTTTTTTGTTTGATCAATGCAAAATTGTTGCTGAAGAGAAGAGAATTTGTGCAATTTATGATGAAGGAATTTATCTGAAAGTTTATGTCACGGATAGTTTCGAAGATTAAAAAATGGTGATTTGAGACTATATTTCGCAATTAAAACCAGTGCCTGGAATAGAGAGAAAATTTTATTTTGCAATATGCAGGATTGTTACGCGAAATTGTTGTTGCAAAACCAAAAAAATTTGAAGTAAAAAAAATAAGAATCAATTAGAATGGGAACGAGATTGATTGATACTTGTGACATTAACCGTCGCCATCGTCTTTGATTGATCATATCTGTGACTTTCACTTTCCTTTTCTCTTCAACTCCTTTTCTTTTAACTTCTTGGAAATACGTTTTGTGAACAAATACTCTTATTATTATGATTTCTTTTCATAATACCGAAACAAGTGTCAGAAGAAAGTGATGCCGTAACAATTGAGCTGAACAATGGAGAGAGTCTAGAATTCACTTTCTACCTTTATAATCTGACTATTCCAAACATTAGTATAGTTGCAAAGTTACCGACAAGGATCTGATGTGAGTCGTTTAATAAATAATGGATTGATACTTTTATACAAAAGAAATTTTACATAAAAAAAATATACCGATTGTTTGTATGAAAATATATATGGGAATACAAGCTCTCTCTATGTCTTATTGAAAGATGCGTTGAGTTTGTAGAAGTCGCTCCTCTGAATTAATGACAATATATACAATAAGGCCATTGAAATAGCAAAGAAGTCCTACAAAGGCTGAAAAGAAAGGATATACCATTACCGCAACAGCAGTAACCTATGACCAAAATAATTAATGTTTGGCGTTACAAGCAGTTCAAAGGAGCACACAACTGTTTGATCTATAAGATACTTGCCGAAAAAATTCTGCTTATAGAATGTGGAAAGAACACGGTACTTACAAAGAATTGTCATCTTGGTAAATATTTCGAAGACCCAGGGGCTTCGTCATTCAAATTCGATTTTTTAATTATTTCGACTCTTATGGACGCATGAATTATCGTTTCGAAAGCTAGGGAAAAGGCTATTTTTATGAATTTTTTTGGAAACTATGCGAGCAATTTATTTTAAAATTTGCACATGTAATAATTTCCATTTTGTGTATAATCTCTACTATTATATAAAGGAGAAAAGTTTGTTTGTGCCATTGTTCAGGGAGATTTGGTTTATCTCTCTTCAAGAGATAGGAGACATGATCCACCATATAGGTAGATTTGACTATATTCTATAAATTTATGGAAAAAATAATAAAAACATATTTAGACTACAGTTTATATTAAGAATTCACAAATTTAGACATTAAAATCACATCTCTAATGTTTTCATTGAGCTTCTTGAACAAAGAGCTCAATCCGAGCACGTTAAAACACGTTTGTCTCACTTACAGTCGAAACACACCACCGAGCTTCATGTTGTCATGTGACGGGTTATAATATAAGCGACCGATGATCCGTATGTCGCAACTTAACAATTACGCGCTTGGCTCGAAATCTGAACGAGGTATTTGAAATGGTTTCGTATGGTCAAGTCTCCCGGACTTCCCCTATATGCATCTTATGATTGGAACGTATTAGATTAACTTTATTAATATGACCCTGCAATGCTCAATTCTTTTTGCTCGTCAAAATTTTTTGGCGTCCTTTATTTCAGGCATTTAAATCTAGTAACTCTAGATTTACCTGGCCTGCGTAGTTACATTCTGCGTGTATCTTAAATGACTTGGCGTTGAGAGTGAATTAGAAATTAGTTGAATTAGAAATGTGTTATTGCATATTCAACTGTGACCGCGGTCTGACCTATACCGTGACTAAATATAGATCTAGTCATCAACCGTTTACGAAAGAGACATAAGAATTGACGTGGTATTTGATGTCGTAAGAATTGGGTCGTATTTGGGATCGCCATGAATTCATCGGTTTAACGGCAAGCGTTACTGCCTTCTGCGTACGAAGCACGTATTGTAGAACTTTTTGAAATGGTATTCTGATCAAAATTATTTAGTTATTTCCTAAATTTGTATTTAGGAAAATTCCGGATTAATTCCGATCGGAATACATTTCAAAAAGTTCCATAATACATTCACCGGTTTAATCTGTTCTAACTTGACAGCTCACAAATGAAACCGCGCAGCGAATCCGAACAAGCAAATAAAGCTTTTAGATCGCGTCGCGCGTTTACACCGCAAATGATAAAGCTTTATTTCAGGTCAGGTCACTAAAATACGGTCGCCTATCAAGTGACAGGTGACCTAAATAATTTATAGATTGAATTTGAGGTATAGGCCGCACCCTAAATTTAGGGTGTGAACGTAGTCAATAAATATATATTCAAAATATGTATATGCATCTTATGATTGGAACGTATTTAGATTAACTTCGTTAATATGCCCCTGCAATACCCTTCTTTTTGCTGGTCAAAATTTTTTTGCGTCCTTTATTTCAGGCATTCAGGTAATTAATCCTAGATTCACCTGGCCTGCGTAGTTAGATTCTGCGTGTATCTTAAATGACTTGGCGTTGAGAGTGTTGAATTAGAAATGTGTCTAAGAATATGGCAAAGAACAAAACGTCTATATATGACTACGATAGTCGTAAGAGCCTACGACTACGTTTACGCGAACGTTACTTCTGTAGTAACTTACGATAATTTACTCCGCGTAAACGAGTAAATTATCGTAAGTTATTACAAAATCCCGTTTACGCGAAAGAAAATCCCATTTACGCGAAGGAATTATCGTAAGTTACTACAGAAATAACGCTTGCGTAAACGTATAGTATATACGTCTGCCATCAGCCTAACAAATTTTGCCGCACGTGTATCATTTCGCGCGTGGATCATTTTAGGATATTTGACTTTCATATCTTAATATTATTGATCTTATTGCATATTCAATTGTTATTTATATGTATATGAGCTCTACTACCTGTGCGCGATAGAAACTTACATGATTATGTATGAAAATGTCTTCTAAATGTATTTATCAACGTCATCTTCTGTTACGGGAAGATTCAAACAGAATTGCATGAAGAATCATAAGCATCGGCGACATGGATAGCGTGTGTACAGAGACGTTTGTAATTATATCTCGAAAATGGTTATTCGAAAAAATAATATTATACATATGGTTGAAATCGTAAAGAAATAAGATATATTTTGATCATATATTAGAATTATTGAGAAATGAAGGATACTTTAGTCAAGATCAAATAACTTTATATTTAGTGATAAAAGAATTTTAAAATTTTTGGAAAAAAAAAAGTTTAATAGTGGGGGTATTTTAAAAAATAAAGAAAAATAAAAAATATTTTTTTCATTGTTTTAAAGTACTCTTCAAACCATTCAACTTTTGTTTAAAATTTTGCTAGCAAGTAACCAAGAAACGCTAGCAAGCAAGATTTCTCGATAAACCATATGTGTAAGACTACATGATTTGTTTCGCTCCGGCGCGTACATGCACTTGGCGCGAGATATCACCATATCTTTTGATTACATATTATAAAAGCTTATTTATATATTTGGTTATGAATGAAAAAAAAAGATTAAAAATTACCAAAAAGTTCAAGCTGTAAGAATCCTATTCAGATTATTTTTCTTGGCATATTATTTATCTTACTTAATAAATAACATTTATGTATGTATTTTTTTAGATTTTCGCGCATTTTGTATTATAACCTAATATCTCTTTTATGACGAAAATTTGCGATTGTCGACTCAATGTTCAATTGAAATAAAAACAAAGTTTTTTTAGGGTCAGTAAATTGACTTACAAAGAATGAATCAATTGACTTAAGGTGATTGAAAGATGTAACAATAAGATCATCTGGAAAAAATACGTCTAATGTCATTCGTGAGAATCGAAAATACATACAATCTTATTATTAATATGCTGGCTCATTTTCTGGAATGGCATCAGACATTTTTGTTAATGTTGCAATAATACCTATCAAATAAATTTCGATGGAAAAAAGCACATTGCGCCAAATGCACTTGATAAATAAATTTATTAATTTATAGTACATTACTATTACTCACTGTAAATTACTCACCATGTCTGTGATATAAAAATCATATATCAACATTCCCTACATGTGTGGGAAGTTTTATTAAAATCAGAATTTTCGAGTTCGCGAGGTTTCCTTGTGAGACACAGTTTTAATTAAAAAATTTAGAAAAAAATATATTATTAAAGTACATATATATATTTTAGTATTTAAAAACTCCAAACTTTTATTACTATCTGGTAAGAAAATACAGCAATTTTTTATAATTGGAAGTTTTGTTTTAAGATACAGCAGCTTGATGTACCTTGGAACACCTGTGAAAAATTTTTATTAAAAAAAAGTAAATCTTTTCAAAGAAATATATTTTAATAAATTTAGTTACATCTTGGTCAATTATTAAACTGAAAGTAACAATTAAATCTAACGATCAAATAAATCATTATCGTTATAAATAAAAACAACCATTCATAAATTTTATTTTAAGTAATTTTGCGTGTTTTTCTTAACTGCTTTTATTTTTCTCTCTAATAAAATATTTTTACAGCAGATATCAGAGCTTCAGCATCCTGCCTTGGCCTTTTTATTCCACGTTTACTACGTGGCATGGTATTAGCTATAATACAAACAAAT